TTTTGCAGGAGAAAATCCAGCCTGTATAGCCTTGGGCAAGTTGGCACAGTCCCAGAAGTGCCCCGTAGAAGGGAATGGTAAAGCACTCCTGTGTACTCTCTACCTGGAGAACCTGGAAAGCGTTGCCATCAATGTGGATCGACCTGATGGCATAACATTATTTTCATTATATAAACTGCCATCTCTACATAGAGAGACACAAGAAAAGGAATGGGAAGGACCGGAAAAGGAAGAGAGGTATTAAGAGAAGCAATGTTGGAATATTAAGAAAAAACACCCGGAACATGAAGAATGAGAAACTATTTTCATCTCACTTAGTTTCAGTTATATTTATAGCAGGCTTCCCCAATAATCCTTCATCCCTCTCCTCTCATAAATTCCTTCCATTATTTTTCACCGAAAATAATTTTTTTTAAAAAAAAATTGGCTAATATTTAACTGGTGTCAATCTGTCAGTAATTTTCAACAAAACATGACCTGTGAAAGAAGTCATTATAAGTGTTTCATTCCATTAAACACAACTAGTTTACTGTCAGGAGAACAACCCATCTCTCAATGTTTCAAGTTCACTTCAGCGTTCCACATTTAAATGACATGGAACAGTGGTTTGCTTCATTTACCAATGAAGGCAGAATACTGCAAAGTTAACAAGGTGTTTTATTAGGTTTCATGAAATCCTAGTATCAAGCTATGAAGGATCTACAGCGTACCATACATACATGTTTAGACTAGAACTACACAGTAAAATTAATTTCAGTCAGGTCCCAGTTATCCTTACTTATTCCTGCGGACATGTCATTGTGCAAAGAATTATACTGTACCCTCTTTCTACCCACATTTCTGATTATTTATTTTGATCATTTACATTCTGCCTTGATATGTTAAAATATACAGGTACTCAGGATAGTGTATTTAACAATGGTGTTTATTCATATAAATGAATTATCATTATTTCACTGGCAGGTATGAAAAGTGATGAAAACAGGCTGGGAAGAGCCACCCTGGGCTCAGAAATTAAAACCGAGCGCAAACAGCCACCTACTGAGGCGAAACACTCATACAGGCTTAAGAAAATTAAATGTCTCTCATGAAATAATTTTATTTTTCACATTTCTTCATTTAAGTACACATGCCACCATAAGAATCTAGGTTAGTTTGAGAGACTGGAACCCAACTATATCAAAAGAAATTTATAAGCAACTAACTGCTCTGACGGTATTTACTTCCTGCAGTTTATAACTCATGTAACATGATGTGAGGTGAGAAGAAAGGGTTCATCTGAAATTTTTTTTAGCTGTTTAAAAGCAAATCAAAACTGTGCATTCTAGACAAAAAGATGCAGGGCCTTTGACTAAAATGATGCTGAGTGTTTTTTAATGCCTAAAAATCAGGGTAAACCGAGGCTCACATTTTCATAACTTACAGGGAAAACACTTAATTCTTTTTAAATGACCTTTTAAAATTTATTTTATTCAAAGAATATTTAGATAGCGGTAGTTTTATTAGGTAATGAAAACTAATTGGGAAATTATTCATCTTCTAGTCTCCCCTCCGGAGCGTAAAAGCCATACAACAAATGTTATTCATGATTCTACACAACCCACTCTGTCTGATTCATCCCCTTCTTTCTAAGGGGCACTCCAGAGGAAATAAAGGTTACTCTTTCCCATTTATATTTTTTAATTGACTGCTGGTATTTTCTTGTGGTCAGAAGGATAGGAAAGAGCGCTCAAAATAGCCTATTAAGAAAAACAAGTTACAATCAGGCCTCTCTCTACAGTACTGTCAGCAATGATCAGACTGCCCCTATTTCCTTGTTAAAAGACAGAAGCATAAATGAAGGAATATCTTCACTACAGATTGATTATTCGGCAACCCTTATCCACATCTTCACTCAGCAATTTGAATTTTAATGAAAGTAAATGGAATAATTAGCATTTCAAAGCGTGTTTGATACACTGCATTTTTTGAGAGACAGAGAAAGACTTTTATGTATATTCCAAGCACAAAAGAAAAGGAGCATTTTTGTGAGTGGGCAGAAAAAGGGAAGGCACTGTTGTAAGGTTTTCATTAGAATAGCTTAAACAATTGCTTGCACTAACTGAATAATTACAGATGTGAATCACTGGGCTATTAGTGATTTTGCTCACCTTTATTTTATGTGTGTGTGTTCTCCTGAGCAACCATTTTATCGGCCTTTAGCACCAATTCATAAGAAGGCTCTTTCATTATTAGTAGTATTTTGTTTAAAGCAATAACAAAAAAGACCTGGGAAACCTTTCCATGTTGCCACTGTGTCTAAGTGTTACTTCTACTGCTTACCATTCAGAAAGCAGATTAATCCCCCCCCAAAAAAAGTCAAACAGGACTGTCAACGTATGAGACTAAATTTAGTGCAAAAATCAACTGACAAGATTTATTCCAACTGATATCAGTCTTCAACCACGAGCCCACTATGAGCACTAAGACCCATATTGCTACCTATGTCTCATTCCTTTAATAACATTTACAGTGGTGCCGCGCTAGACAATGACCTCACAAAACGACGAATCTGTATGACAATGAGTTTTTGCAATCGCTATAGCGCTTCGCAAAACAGTGTTTCCTATGGGCGATTTTCGCTGGACGATGTTTGGGTCCGTGCTTCACAGACCATTTTTCGCAAGATGATTTTAACAGCTAATCGGCACTTCGCAAAAACGGGTGTTTTCGGGACAGATGATTCGCAAGACAGCGATTTTAACAGCTGATTGGCGCTTCACAAAATGGCTTCCCTAAGGGCAATTTTCACAGAACGACAATGATTTTTCCCCATTGGAATGCCTTAAATGGATTTCAATGCATTCCAATGGGGAAACACTTTTCGCAAGATGATGTTTTCACAAGACAGCGATTTCAATGGAACGAATTAACATCGTCTTGCGGGGCACCACTGTATTTGGGAATAAGATGTGTGACTTTCAGTGCAACATCCAAATACACAATCTTGGGATGGCTAGTCTCTAAACCAGTGGTCCCCAACCTTAGGTCCCCAGATGTTCTTGGAGTATAGCTCCCCAAAGCCTTTATTACTAGGTGTGCCTGCCAGGATTTCTGAGAGTTGTCACCCAAGAACATCTGGGGACCCAATGTTTAGAAGCCCTGCTCTAAGCAAAGGCTTATGTGCAATTGGAAAGTGTTTCTCCAACTCTAGCCACTTGAATGCTGCTCCAAAAGCCTCCCCAAACTTACAGAACAAGCTTTTTGGAATGCAAGCAGCTGAGATATGATGAATTCGTGTGGGATAAAATGGGGGTGAATGACACATATGGACACATTATGTGCAGCTTTGTGGGCCTGGGATCAGAGCATAGAATACATGGATTTCACAGCAATCTGTTCCAAATGGATTTGTTTTGAGAGAAAGATATCAAAACAACAAACCTAAGGACAAGATACTTCCATTCTTGCATTTTACTCATACACCTAAATTCAACATGGCACTGACACTTCCACACCTGGGCAATGGGATTCCCTTCTTGCCCTCCACCCTCTGAAGTCCTGTGACCTGCCTGGAAATCAAGCCTGGAGAGTTTTCCAGCTCTCCAAAGCATGTTTTTAGGATGCTGAGAAGAATGCAATGGGGAGACAGGATTGGTCCCTCCCACTTCTGCTAGTACTCACAGTTCTGCCAGCAGAACTCCAGGGCTGGATTTTATAGTTAAAATAAAGGCATTCAGACACTGCAAGTTGCTTTCCACCAGCATAACAGCAAACCACGTCAGCAACCTGTCCATCTGCAGCCTGCTGTGGCTTGAGTATATCTATATGGGATTTCCAAACGTACCAGTCCCTTGCTTGTGATGTCCACATACCAGTTTTCCTCAATGGGTATTCTTTAAATGGGCCCAAAGCAGAGAGCACAAACATTTGAAAAGAATGAATCCCGTGGAAATAGGTACATGTGGTGTGTGGCTTACTGACCACCTTGGGGGAGCTTTGTCTGGCAAGGATCTCAAGGCCTGGCAATGAAATGTTGCCTCTGGCTTCTTTCTTCGCTCACAGAAGACACATGCTACCATGAACAATGGCACAATGACGGTGTAGAAAATCAATCAAATCAGAGAGGCAATGTGTACAGATCTATTTGCTCTGCTTGACAGCTTGTTGCTTTCAAGATATATTTTGTCCTCATGTTTTATCATATTTTCAAATGGAACGTTTTGTTGTGAACCATCCTGAGGGCTTCAGCTGGGTTACAACTTACAAAAAAAAAAAAACAACCCAAGCAAACATTAAATGTAGGGCTTGCAAAAGCAGCTTCTGCCACGCGTGCATCCTAGGCACTATCCAGCTTGGTCTTTTGCTATGGCAAACTGCCACTTCCTCAGAAGGCTCATTTCCGATCACAACTCTGATGACGAGCTCACAGCTTATGTTGTTCATAAAAGCTGATGCCTGTGATCAGGAATAAAATCTGCACAATATCTTAGAAATGTGACTGGCAGAGCACCTCAAAGGGCTGGGTTCTTCTGATCTGCTAACAATGTAACAGCTGTCTTCTTAGTTGATGCTCATGTACTCAAATGTGAATTGGGATAATGGGAAATTATAAAAGGTCAATGGAAGTCCTGCATTTGTGAGTTGGTTGATAATAAAAATCTCACCTTCCTGGTCTATAGCACAGGTGAGTGGTTACAGCAAAGGGATGGCCAATTCGCAGCAGCACAAATGAACCAGGTTGCTCAGTCCATTGGGGCTAAATCCAATTATCAGTCTCAATTAGAGCAGGCCTACTGAATCAATGAGACTTATATAAATCTTGACTAAGCAAGTCCAGTTCATTCAGCGGGTCTACTTTAGCTGGGATAACATTTGGATTTACCTCTTGGCATCCAACGCAGTTTTGACCAGCTGAGAGAACTAAACTTAACAACAAAAACAATGTCTTGGAACAAAAAGAAAGAAAATGAACTTTAAAAAAAAAAGACTATTAAAGCTAAAATGGAAAGACCACATACCCCAATGATTGCGTTCAGTTCTGCCATGGTCACTTGCTTGGCACGTTCCACAGCCTGCACCACTTGTTGCTGGTGCTATAAATGAAGATCAGAAACAGAATAAAATTATTTGCTTTCTAGTGAATCAAGCATAGAATTTTCTATTTCTTTTTCTCCTCTAAAAATAAACTAGAATTCCTTCTCCTGATTGCATGCAGGCCTGAAATAATGCCTCAAAAGGGCAGGGTGAATTTGTAAGATCCTGCAAAGCGATGGTTTATTTTATCAAAACCAAGTAATTAACTATAATTTAACTTTTATATCTCTTTTCCCAGAGACAGGGAAGATGAGCAACAACAGCATGCCAATATTTTACTCAGGAAGAAAGTGCTGTCTTGAACTAGAAGAACTGTTCTCCATACTTGAAGGTTATTGTGAACATAATGATTATGGTGAACTTGAAAAACAACGGGGGGGGGTGTGTTTGGGTATTTACATACAAAAGTATTTCCTCATCAGAAAAGCAAATGTTAGTTCACATCTCCGTAACTTGTGGACACAACCGCTTACTTGCAATATAAATACCTCTAAATTTGTCCCACCCTTGTATTTGTTTATGTCAATACAGGGATTAAACCAGTGTTGATCCAAAGAAATCAAAAGAAAAATAGAGAGAAATGGGAGAGCGAGACAGTATGGATTTCTATACCCTGGCCTTCTGTCTATATCTAAATAATCTCAAGGCAAGTTTGCTAATTCAGGATTACTACAACTCTGGTTACAGAAGACAGACATTGACACATTTCAAAGAAGCTCAGCTATAGGAAGACACACAGAGAATCTTTTTTCACGTTTCAATCAAAATGTGAAAGAGTTTGACTGCTTCCTGTACTAAAGCCATAAAGGTTACGCCTGCAAATTCTAAACATGCTAAATTGGAAATTATAATAGGTAGTAAATTGGTGTTGAGATTCAGACTGAGGTGGCTTTTCCTGATGTATTTATTATACTGCTTTGATTGTTGTGATTTTTCTGCAGAATCTGTTGTCTTGAGTTGGTGCTAAGAGCTTTTTGTTGATGTTGCTATAGTTAGATACCTCTGTAGAACTACACTTCCCAGCATAACCTGCCTAGAAGCCGTAACAGTCAGATGCAATTCTTTTCACAAAGAATGAGGGGAATATACTGTAAAGATGAAAGAGAGTTCAATTTGACAAGTATCAAACTCGTTCAGCTGGTTAAAATTCCACTCTACTGCTATGTAGGCTTGCACACAAAACAGAAGCAAAAGCTGACTAGACCAGAATGTCACAAAGAGTTCCCATGTTGGGAACAGGATTTGTCTCACACTCCAAGAAAAAGTAAAATATAATATATTTTATCCCTGCAAAAGAAGAGATTGAAATGAATGGCCAAATCGGTGGGTAATGTATTAACTAATGCAATACTTTTCAGGTTCCAACTAATTTCCTGTACACTTTAAATATATGGGGGAGAAAACCGTCACAGCAAACATTTAAGAAATAAAAAGTAAATTTCACTCTTTATACAAAAGAAAGTAACAATATTACTGGTCGTTTCATGGCAACAAAATTTGTTATGACCTCATTAGCTAAGAAAGTAACATATTACAAGTAATGTTGTTACTTTCATCACAAAAAGCTGAAACTTTGGATAGGCTGGGAAGCTACACTTCCTCTTACTCTTTGACCTCATTTTTTGCCCCATCTATTCTTTTTTTTTCAACTTGTACTCATGGTCTCCCCTTTTTTTTCATTTAGTTCTCCCACTTGCATTGCTACCCTTGAGTTAATCTAGTACTGTATTGCTCTTTTCTTTTCTGCCATTACACTTTTCTTCTAAGAGTGTAATGGCAGAGAAGACAAAAGCTGTGCTTCAACTTCAACTGAATGCTGAATTCCAGGAAAAATCTGGAGTGTTTGTGTGGATTTGGAGGTACCCAAATGGAAGCAATCAGACTCAACCTGGTTCCAGTGTGGATCAGAACCATCTTGAATTGTACCAGAAAATATGGCATTTGGAGAGTTAAAAATTTTAAAAAAAGAAAAAGCTGAAAAGGAGGAAAAGGGAAACAGAGTGTAATACCATAAAAATGCTGAAATAAGGAAAAGGAGGAGTGTGATAATTTAGCACATACACCATTGAAAACTCTCCTGCACTCTCTAATCACACAGAACATGGAAAGGGTCCACACAGAGGTTACTTAAGATGTATGTTCTTTTCCATGCTATGTTTTCCCACAGTCATCTTAACGACTTAGGCAAAAACAAAGGAAAAATAAAAAATTTAGAAGACAAAAATGTTGTGGCACCTTAAAAGACTGCCATACACTAACTTTCATGAACAAGTCTACTTCCTCAAACACAACAGTGGGAGTACATGGCAAATATTTATACATTACTATTCTGTACCTGGGGCAGCATACATGCCACAGAGTGCTTTACCTCCCTCCACCTTTTAGAACTGTGTGTGTGTGCACACACACATGATACACTTACGCACATATATGTACACAATGAATGTTTGACCTGGGCAGGTTTTGAGTGTCTACTTGAGCCAAACTAAGTTTAAGCAACAGCTTGTTGCTATGTTATCCAGCCCTGACCCCCCTCTTCCTTTGCAGCCATGCACTGTTGCCCTAGGAGAGTATTGCAATTTTGCATTTAAAAAATTGGACTTCACAAGAATACCCCTCCCCTCAAATATAGGTGAAATTATGATCAGTCCAAAGTAGAAAGCAAGATTAACAAATAACACTGGAAACTACTTTCCTTGCTTGCATGTCCTAAAGGATGTGACTGTCAGTTTCTGGTTTTGACTCAGAACACCGACTAGCAAATTGCTATCATGGCAATGGTATAAAGTGTGGGACACGATATGTCTCTAAACTTCATTCCACTCCTCTTCATCTAATAGTGCATGAGGAGTCCTTTCTCCCCCCCGCCACCCCCCACGACCTAATCCAACAGGAAGAATGCCCATTCCTGTACTGAGCAGTGAACTGCAGATCTGAACATCTTTGTGTCCAGACTTTGGCACTTCAAATTCTCTCTATGATGTCTACATTTTTGCCATGTTTCACAGTGTCATGTAAAACACCACTATACATAATTATAGCTATTTGCATAACTCCATTCAGGAGAATGGTGGTGTTCCTGGAATTCAAAAACCCATGAATCTATGTCAAGACGGAAGGATCGCAGAAATGATGTAGATTCCAGTTTGGGGGAACAAAATCAGCAGTTGTTCTCCTCCTTTCTATTCTTTCTTTTCTTCCTCTGGAACTTTCAAAATATTTTTTCACATCCTTCTCAGATCTAAATCTGCAGCCCCAAACTCTGTTTGATATGTGTTACATTCAGACTGTCTAGACACCAGTACAAATCTCTGATATATCTCCACTTTCAACCCACAGTTCCAAAGTCAGAGGGGTTTTCTCTGTGCCCCACATCTATCAAGCAAAGCAAGCTGCTCACCTTCGCTTTCCATTACCCACTATGAACTATAAGGAACAGAGTTTGTGGCTATGCATTTAATTACCATGTTTCCCCGAAAACAAGACAGGGTCTTATATTAATTTTTGCTCCAAACGTTCATTAGGGCTTATTTTCAGGGGATGTTTTTATTTTTTTTCCATGTACAACAATCTACATTTATTCGAATACATCTGGTTGCTGCACAATGGTGGAGGGCAGGGTTTCACTTAACTAGGGCTTATTTTTAGGTAGGGCTTATATTACGAGCATCCTGAAAAATCCTACTAGGGCTTATTTTCAGGTCAGGGCTTATTTTCAGGGAAACGGTAGTCCTCTGAGATCAGTACACCATCCCTGTTCCCTTGCTCATTCAGAGCTGCTAGGGAGATGAAGGTGCAGTAGCTTAACTCTGTGCCAGAAGAATATCTTGAGATCAGCACACCTGCCAGGAACAGAGCAACAGAAGATTTCCAGTTCTGAGATAAAAGGGAGCGGGGGATGACTTCACAACTATCCCAGCTTAGCTTATGGATAAAAATGGAAATTATTGCAGAAACCTGGCACAAGGTCAAAGACAAGATCTTTCCCTTTGGTGTAACCAGTTCTGGCAGAAATGAAAGCCTGGTTAGCCAAAAAGGCAAGCCAACATTTGAGGAACCCTTGGGCAACCATCGGTATGCTTTGAGACCTGCCAGTAAGAATAGGTATTAGCGTGAGGCCCAAGGAAAATTAAAAGAGAACCAGGTAAGTACCAGGAGCATCAAAAGAACGTCACTCCCAGAAAAAGCAGTAAAACAGAGGCAGAAACAACAGGGTATTTGATACAAATGCCAAAACAGGTGGGTGAAACAGAGATCATTCCAGTGAAATTAATGCTGGCTCATTCATTCTCACAAATAACCACTCACTCAAGCAGTACACATCGCCTCGAGCAGTCAGAAGATAGAACACACAGCAGCTATTTGCACAAATAAGCTGGGAGAGAGACCATCTAAACCAACACTTTTTTTCAAGTGACTACATTTAGGAGAATATAACTATAGCAGTCAAATCAGGCACCTGGTCAAAGGGGGGGGGGAATCAATGAGATCCTTAATTATCAAATCTGCAGCAAAGACAGAAAAGGTCCTGCCGGAGATGACACTGCATGCCGTGCCCCAAAGAAAACACAGCTTTACTATGTAAGAAAACACAGAATTACTATGTGAAGAAATTGAAGCTCAAAAAGCAGTATGCATAGATTATGCTATCTAACCAAAATTTTAGTGGTGATCTTGCAATATGAGTAGAAACCAAGAGGGCATGGGAAAACTAAATGTCATCAACTACCCAGTCATTCTGAGGGGAAGATGTGATTGCAGGCCTTCATTTCCAGATATAGTTATTTATACTCCGACAAGCAAAATGGTGACTCTTGATTTAATCACAAGCAATGCTAAGGATTTGAGGGAAGACAAACATTCTTAGGAACAGGCGTAACACGTAGAATTAAATAAAATGACACTGGGAAAGCACTCCAAACAAAGAAACAAAGCCACATTTTGCAAATTATAGGGAAGATGAAGCATACAGTTAGAGAATCGTATCCCTTCAACTAGT